ACCTGTCTGTCTCTCACCTGTCTGTATCTCACCTGTCTGTCTGACACCTGTCTGTCTCTACCTGTCTGTCTACAGGTGGGTCAGGGAGTTCCTGAATGAGGAGAACCGGGGTCTGGATGTCCTCGTAGAATATCTGTCCTTCGCTCAGTACGCCGTCACGTGAGTCTGAACCCACAAACACTGGAACCACTTCCTGTTCCCTAGAAAACCCACTGAACCAAGAGAACCGGGTGTTTTAACGTACCTGTCTTTATAGAACCGACTGAACCAAGAGAACCGGGTGTTTTAACGTACCTGTCTTTATAGAACCGACTGAACCAAGAGAACCGGGTGTTTTAACGTACCTGTCTTTAGAACCGACTGAACCAAGAGAACCGGGTGTTTTAACGTACCTGTCTTTATAGAACCGACTGAACAAGAGAACCGGGTGTTTTTTAACGTACCTGTCTTTATAGAACCGACTGAACCAAGATAACCGGGTGTTTTAACGTACCTTCTTTATAGAACCGACTGACCAAGAGAACCGGGTGTTTTAACGTACCTGTCTTTATAGAACCGACTGAACCAAGAGAACCGGGTGTTTTAACGTACCTGTCTTTATAGAACCGACTGAACCAAGAGAACCGGGTGTTTTAACGTACCTGTCTTTATAGAACCGACTGAACCAAGAGAACCGGGTGTTTTAACGTACCTGTCTTTATAGAACCGACTGAACCAAGAGAACCGAGTGTTTAACGTACCTGTCTTTATAGAACCGACTGAACCAAGAGAACCGGGTGTTTTAACGTACCTGTCTTTATAGAACCGACTACCTGAACCAAGAGAACCGGGTGTTTTAACGTACCTGTCTTTATAGAACCGACTGAACCAAGAGAACCGAGTGTTTAAACGTTTCTGTCTCTAGAGAATCGACTCAACCGAGTGTTTTAACATTCCTGTCTTTAGAGAACCAAGTGTTCTAATGTTCTTGGCTTTATAAAACTGATTTAACAGACAGACCAAGTGTTTCAACCTGATCGTCTTCATGTGGTGAACGCAGTAGGTTTAGCTTGTATGAGGAGAACCCGCTGATTCTGGTTCTGTTGTTGGCAGGTTTGACACTGAAGGAGAACCTGACTGTGGTTCTGTTGTAGGTTTGATGGGGAGCAGGTGGAGGTTGGAGGCGAGGCGTCCTCCATCGACTCGCCCTGGAGCCGCTCCATCGAGGATCTTCACGGAGACGCTGGCCTCCCCTCGCCCTCCTCCTCCGGACCGAGAGCTGCCCGACACTCCATCAGGTGAGAGAACCGGAGAACCGGAGACACTGAGAGACACTGGAGACACCTGAGAGAAACTGAGAGACACTGAGAGACACTGGAGACACCTGAGAGAAACTGAGAGACACCTGAGAGACACTGATACCCCATTCACACCAACGGTGTTTCGGGGCCGGTTCGGAGCTGGTGCTTGAAAAGCACCGGTTGTCCTGTTCACCCCGCAGCGGAGCCGCCTCTAAGCTCCGGAATCCGGTTCGTTTCGAGCACCAAAAAGTTGTCCGTGTAGAAGCAAGAACCGCTTACGTCGGAGGGGGGCGAGATTAACCTGAGATAACAGTTAAGGCGAGTACGGCAAATAAAAGTTGTAACCAGCAGTAGTGCTGAGCAAAGTGACTAGAACGCAACCACACACTTGTTAAAAAAAACACGCTTTATGAAAGTCAGGCAACACTAACCAGGCTTCATGTGATTCTGTTTATTTGTATCTTACTTTGACCATCCGTTCGCTGTTATTGATCATTGTGGAGAGCAGGCAGACGTTTGTTATTATAGCAGCTATCGGATGGAATCAATACATGGGCTGCACAGGTTGTCATGTCCGACTATCACAAGTAGAATCATAATGAAAAATACGCCGGTAAAAAGTGCCTGTAGAAAACGGCTTAGCAAGTAGTCAGTTTAGCTTCGGTTGCTATGCTAACATCACCCCTGTTATACCAGAGAAACTTTCATAACAGCGTTGTGATGCCAAACAGCGTCAATTCAGACTGACACACATTCACTTAAGGGGAACTGGGGATATGTATCAGCTGCTTGTGTGACAGTCAGACAGTGAATACTTTAGAGCCGTGTGAGCTAACCCGGAGCTAACGGGAGAATAAACTCCCGTGGAAGAGCAGCCAGCACTGCAGCGGTCGCTAAATGAAACACTTTAATAAACAATGAACCACGGCACTCTGGAGAAAAGTATAAGGTTGGAGAAGTCCTTATTTAATTTAATCTGGCTTCGTATGATTAAAAGCAACGCAGTCCCCGGCCCGTTGGGGAGAAACTCAGCGACGTAAACTGTGACGTCATGACGCAGCAGCGGCAGCACCAGTCGGGCTCTGAGCGGTGTGAAAAGAGCCGGAGCTAAACCGAAGTACCGGTTCTGAACCTGAAAAGCTCTAGCACGGAGCTTGAACCGGAGTTGCGTTGGTGTGAAAGGGGTATTAGAGGCACTGAGAGACACTGAGACACCTGAGACACTCAGAGAAACCCAGGGACACTCAGAGACATCCAGAGACACCCAGAGACACCCAGAGACACCCAGAGAAACCCAGGGACACTCAGAGACATCCAGAGACACCCAGAGACACTCAGAGACACCCAGAGACACCCAGAGACACCCAGGGACACCCAGAGATACCAGAGACACCCAGGGACACTCAGAGACACCCAGAGACACCCAGAGACACCCAGGGACACCCAGGGACACTCAGAGACACCAGAGACACCCAGGGACACTCAGAGACACCAGAGACACCCAGGGACACTCAGAGACATCCAGAGACACCCAGAGACACCCAGGGACACTCAGAGACACCCAGAGACACCCAGAGACATCAGAGACACACAGAGAGACCCATAGACACTGGAAACAAGAGACTTCTCAAAGGATAGGAAACAGATAATAAATACATTAACAACATGTGTTCTGCAGCTCTGCGATGGTGACTCGCTCCAACACGCTGCCCAGTCGCCGGACTCTGAAGAACTCAAGACTGGTCTGCAAGAAAGACGACGTACACGTTTGTGTCATGTGTCTGAGAGCCGTCATGAACTACCAGGTACTAGCATACTTATAATATATATATTTAAGCAATAGCTCACGACAGGCCGTGGTATATGCTCATTATATCACAGCTAAGGGGCGTGGTTCAACCCCCTAGCTGTGATATAATGAGCATATATCACGGCCTGAAGTGAGCTATTGCTTTTATAAAACGGTTACCAAGTGTGGCAATATGAAAGAAAAATACACACTCTAATTTAAATAGTTTTTATTAGTAAATAATGATGTTCAAAATAAAATAGTCCCTCCTGTTGCCTTCTGCACGAAACATAGTGCGAGGTGGTTGCTATGCAACAACACTAACAGCTAGCGAACATATTAGACAGAGAGCGTTGATCCATTATTTGGCTATTTATTTACATTCATGTGTATGTTGTTGTTTATTGTGCAGCCTCTGAAAACCTGTCCAGCATCAGCAGCATGGCTTACGTGGTTACTTGTATAGGCTGAGGTTGTTCTAGGCTGTTCTTTGGCGTGGAGAGAATATTGCTCCACTTTCTCCGGTCCCTGAGATTGGGCTTCCAGTAGCTCTGGAGAGAGCTTTCTCACCTGAGGCCACTAACGGTCATCATGTCTCTGCTTTGTTTCAAGACCCGCATCAGAAAGCTTTTGAATGGTGATACTTCTCCAGTTGGTCTACCTGCTCTTCACGTAGCTCTGCATGTCGTCGTTTAGGTGCTTTTTGTTCTGGAGATAGGCACTGCTCAATCCACTCCTCCATAGTGAGACCCCCCCCCCGCCCCCCCCCCCGGAGGTCCAAGTTAACCTTAAATGTTTTTGAGGACCTTTTTGATTACAGATTTGAAAACATGGTTGCTTGCTTTAAAAGTAGCACACTTCATGATGTCAGACCTTGGGAAGTATCTAGATACCCCTGCCCTAATGCCAAAGGAACTGCACACTGAGTATGTTTTGCCGTTTGATGTCTATGTCTGGACCGCTGCGTAAAAAGGAGGGTTTCTGCCCCGTTACTTCTCCACTGTTTTCTTGTTCCAGTTTGAAAAGCAAGCAGCATGCAGTTTGCTTTTCAGCCCAACTGTATACAGTTAAATCGACCGGACTTCTTTCTGCAGATGTGAGCGTCCTTTAACAACGGTCAATACGTCCTTGCTGCACATTATCCCTTACATGTTTCCATCTTGAGCTTTGTTAGTTAGTTAGTTAGTTAGTTAGTTAGTTAGTTAGTTAGTTAGTTAGTTAGTTAGTTAGTTAGTTAGTTAGTTAGTTAGTTAGTTAGTTAGTTAGTTAGTTAGTTAGTTTGTTAGTTAGTTAGTTTCCTAACGGACGTAATGTAACAGCTGTAACGGTTGTAGCTTTTCTCAGACGTGGAGGGATACTGACTTGTTGTGAAAAGTAACTACAATTCTACCCGTGGTATACGCTCAGTATATCACGGCTAAGAACCAATCAGATTGCTTGATTGGACTTGTCCGTTTTATAATGATATTTATATATATTTATGTATATACTGTAATTCTTCCTGTGTCCCCAGTACGGATTCAACATGGTGATGTCTCACCCTCACGCCGTCAACGAAATCGCCCTCAGCCTCAACAACAGAAACCCCAGGTACACACACACACACACACACACACACACACACACACAGACAGACAGACAGACAGACAGACAGACAGACAGACAGACAGACAGACAGACAGACAGACAGACAGACACACACACACACACACACACGTTTGAACTGTCTGTCTCTCGCCTGTCTCTCGCCTGTCTCTCGCCGCATGTCTCTCGCCTGTCTCTCACCTGTCTCTCACCTGTCTCTCGCCTGTCTCTCACCTGTCTCACCTGTCTCTCGTCTGTCTCTCGTCTGTCTCTCGTCTGTCTCTCGTCTGTCTCTCACCTGTCTCTCGCCTGTCTCTCGCCTGTCTCTCGCCTGTCTCTCGCCTGTCTCTCGCCTGTCTCTCGCCTGTCTCTCGCCTGTCTCTCACCTGTCTCTCACCTGTCTCTCGTCGTCAGGACAAAGGCTCTGGTGTTGGAGTTGCTGGCGGCAGTTTGTTTGGTCAGAGGAGGACATGAGATCATCCTGTCGGCCTTCGACAACTTCAAAACTGTAAAGAAACCACACACACACATAATGAATGTCTCATGGGCTGGTTGGGTGGATGGATGTTTGGTGATTTATAAATCTATGTGTTGCAGGTGTGTTCAGAGTCGATGCGTTTTGAAAAGTTGATGGAACATTTTAAGAACGAAGACGACAACATCGACTTTCTGGTATGGAGAATTGAAACAGTTTGAACTTTGTTCAGGTAGCCCTTCATGTTGACCTGCAGGTCTCCTGGTGGTACATCATACTGTCATAACTGGGAGCGGAGGACAGTGTGTGTTAGATGATAATACTTTGAACATTGGTTGCTAAGTAACAGTGTGTTGTTGTTACCGGTCTCTCAGGTGGCCTGCATGCAGTTCATCAACATCGTGGTTCACTCGGTGGAGGATATGAACTTCAGAGTCCACCTGCAGTACGACTTCACCAAACTCAACCTGGACGAGCACCTGGAGGTAAACACATGACCGTCTGTCAGCCAATCACACGCCTGTAAGACGTCACATGACCCTCTGTCAGCCAATCACACGCCTGTAAGACGTCACATGACCGTCTGTCAGCCAATCACACGCTTGTAAGACGTCACATGACCCTCTGTCAGCCAATCACACGCTTGTAAGACGTCACATGACCCTCTGTCAGCCAATCACACGCCTGTCTCCCTGCACTAACCCCACCCCCCCACCTGTCTCCCTGCACTAACCCCACCTGCCCCCCCCCACCCCCCCACCTGTCTCCCTGCACTAACCCCACCTGTCTCCCTCAGAGGCTGAAGCACACGGAGAGCGACCGGCTGCAGGTTCAGATCCAGGCGTACCTGGACAACGTGTTTGACGTTGGGACGCTGCTGGAAGACGCAGAGACCAAGACTGCTGCTCTGGAGAGGGTGGAGGAACTGGAGGAGAACCTGGGCACGGTGAGACCTGTGTATTCCTGTCTGTCTTTATGTGTCTCTTACCTGTCTATCTGACCTGTCTCAATGTCCGTCTCTAAGATGTCTGCCCGGGTGCTGGACGTGGAGAACGAGGCGATGCTGAAGATCGTGGAGCTGGAGAAGCAGCTGATGCAGACCAACAAGGAGCTGGACCAGACCCGGGTCAGAACCTTTAGATTTATCATGTTTAATAATCATCTCTATAAATAGAGATTTATCATGTTTAATAATCATTTATATAAACTGGAGCTTTATAGATAGATAGAGATAGCATGTGTATGACTGCTGACTAGAGCCAGTGTGGTTAACATGCTGTCTGTTAACCGTTAACTGTCTGTTAACCGTTAACTGTCTGTTAACCGTTAACATGCTGTCTGTTAACCGTTAACATGCTGTCTGTTAACCGTTAACATGCTGTCTGTTAACCGTTAACTGTCTGTTAACCGTTAACTGTCTGTTAACCGTTAACTGTCTGTTAACCGTTAACTGTCTGTTAACCGTTAACTGTCTGTTAACCGTTAACTGTCTGTTAACCGTTAACTGTCTGTTAACCGTTAACTGTCTGTTAACCGTTAACTGTCTGTTAACCGTTAACTGTCTGTTAACCGTTAACTGTCTGTTAACCGTTAACTGTCTGTTAACCGTTAACTGTCTGTTAACCGTTAACTCTGTTAACCGTTAACTGTCTGTTAACCGTTAACTGTCTGTTAACCGTTAACATGCTGTCTGTTAACCCGTTAACTGTCTGTTAACCGTTAACTGTCTGTTAACCGTTAACATGCTGTCTGTTAACCGTTAACATGCTGTCTGTTAACCGTTAACATGCTGTCTGTTAACCGTTAACATGCTGTCTGTTAACCGTTAACTGTCTGTTAACCGTTAACTGTCTGTTAACCGTTAACATGCTGTCTGTTAACCGTTAACTGTCTGTTAACCGTTAACATGCTGTCTGTTAACCCGTTAACTGTCTGTTAACCGTTAACTGTCTGTTAACCGTTAACATGCTGTCTCTTAACCGTTAACATGCTGTCTGTTAACCGTTAACATACTGTCTGTTAACCGTTAACTGTCTGTTAACCGTTAACATGCTGTCTCTTAACCGTTAACATGCTGTCTGTTAACCGTTAACTGTCTGTTAACCGTTAACATGCTGTCTGTTAACCCGTTAACTGTCTGTTAACCGTTAACTGTCTGTTAACCGTTAACATGCTGTCTGTTAACCGTTAACATGCTGTCTGTTAACCCGTTAACTGTCTGTTAACCGTTAACTGTCTGTTAACCGTTAACTGTCTGTTAACCGTTAACATGCTGTCTGTTAACCGTTAACTGTCTGTTAACCGTTAACATGCTGTCTGTTAACCCGTTAACTGTCTGTTAACCGTTAACATGCTGTCTGTTAACCCGTTAACTGTCTGTTAACCGTTAACATGCTGTCTGTTAACCGTTAACTGTCTGTTAACCCGTTAACTGTCTGTTAACCGTTAACTGTCTGTTAACCCGTTAACTGTCTGTTAACCGTTAACATGCTGTCTGTTAACCGTTAACTGTCTGTTAACCGTTAACTGTCTGTTAACCGTTAACATGCTGTCTGTTAACCGTTAACTGTCTGTTAACCGTTAACTGTCTGTTAACCGTTAACTGTCTGTTAACCGTTAACATGCTGTCTGTTAACCGTTAACATGCTGTCTGTTAACCCGTTAACTGTCTGTGAACAGGACGTGTACGCCAGCAGTAACTCTCAGGTGCACACGCTGCGGCGGATCGTGCGGGAGAAGGACCAGACGATCCGGAGACAGAGTCGTTTGGAGCGCCAGGCTCAGGAGGCTCAGCAGGCCGGAGGACCAGGAGCTCCACAGCCCCCGAGAGGAGAGGGAGACGGGGGGGTGGGGGACTCTGCCTCCCCCTCACCTCCACCCTGTCCTAACCTGTCCCCAAGGTGAGAGGCTACCTGGAGGTCAATGGTTCTCTGAATCTATTTTTGGTTTGTTCTCCTGATAAGAGTCTGAGCCGTGACCTACTTTATAACTTTCATAACCAACCAATGATTGATCTCCACAGTCCAGAGAACGTAGCGTATCACAGCATGGCTCCAGGGATGGGTGGAGCTACGGGGATGCTTGCCCCGCCCCCTCCCCCACCTCCTCCACCAATGCCAGGCACAGGTCAGTTTCACCTCCACCAATCAGAGCGCTGGATTGGTCTTCAATCATAAAGAGAAAGTAATCTAGTTTCCTGTTTAACTTTTCAGTTTCCAATGGGTCGTTTCCTGCTCCTCCCCCCCCCCCCTCCACCACCTCCCCCCCCCCCTCCCTGTCGGACCAGTGAACTTTCGTCCTGCCTCCCCCCCCCTCCCCCTTGCGCTCCCCCTCTCCCGGGTTCCGGACCCACTGTCATCTTTAACTCCGGACTCGCAGGTAAAAATACACATGTATATATGTGTATGTATTGTGGGACAGATGTCATTGATATCAAAACATGTGTTTTCTATAACAGCTGGGGGGGGTCTCTCTTCTGCTGACAGAGGGTCCTCTCACCTGTCTCTCTGCTCACCTGTCTCTCTGCTCACCTGTCTCTCTGCTCACCTGTCTCTCTGCTCACCTGTCTCTCTGCTCACCTGTCCTTCTGCTCACCTGTCTCCCTGCTCACCTGTCTCTCTGCTCACCTGTCTCTCTGCTCACCTGTCTCTCTGCTCACCTGTCCTTCTGCTCACCTGTCTCTCTGCTCACCTGTCTCTCTGCTCACCTGTCTCCCTGCTCACCTGTCTCCCTGCTCACCTGTCTCTCTGCTCACCTGTCTCTCTGCTCACCTGTCTCTCTGCTCACCTGTCCTTCTGCTCACCTGTCTCTCTGCTCACCTGTCTCTCTGCTCACCTGTCTCTCTTCTGCTGGCAGAGGGTCCTCTCAAGTTATTCTGTATGTCTTCTACAATCTTTCAACATCTCTCACATTTAACCTCTTTTATCTTACGGTTAACCTGAATACCTGCCTCTGCTCACCTGTCTCTCTGCTCACCTGTCTCTCTGCTCACCTGTCTCTCTGCTCACCTGTCCTTCTGCTCACCTGTCTCTCTGCTCACCTGTCTCTCTGCTCACCTGTCTCTCTGCTCACCTGTCCTTCTGCTCACCTGTCTCCCTGCTCACCTGTCTCTCTGCTCACCTGTCTCTCTCTGTCTCTCTCCTCACCTGTCTCTCCCTGCTCACCTGTCCTTCTGCTCACCTGTCTCTCTCCTCACCTGTCTCTCTGCTCACCTGTCCTTCTGCTCACCTGTCTCTCTGCTCACCTGTCTCTCTGCTCACCTGTCCCTCTGCTCACCTGACCCTCTCCTCACCTGTCTCTCTCTGTCTCTCTCCTCACCTGTCTCTCTCTGCTCACCTGTCCTTCTGCTCACCTGTCTCTCTGCTCACCTGTCTCTCTGCTCACCTGTCCCTCTGCTCACCTGACCCTCTCCTCACCTGTCTCTCTGCTCACCTGTCCCTCTGCTCACCTGTCCCTCTGCTCACCTGTCCCTCTCCTCACCTGTCTCCCTGCTCACCTGTCTCCCTGCTCACCTGTCTCTCTGCGTGCAGCGGTGAAGATAAAGAAGCCGATCCAGACCAAGTTCCGGATGCCGGTGTTGAACTGGGTGGCTCTGAAGCCGAGCCAGATCAACGGGACCGTCTTCAACGACATCGACGATGAGACCATCCTTGGGGTAACAGACAGACATTATAATACCTGTCTGTCTCTCTGTCTGTCTCTCTGTACCTGACTGTCTCTCTGTACCTGTCTCTCTCTCAGGACATTAACGTGGAGGAGTTTGAGGAGCTGTTTAAGACGAAGGCTCAGGGTCCGGCGGTGGACTTGACTCTTTCCAGACAGAAACTTCCTCAGAAAGCTCCGTCCAAAGTTTCTCTGCTGGATGCCAACCGGTCTAAAAACTTGGCCATCACTCTGAGGAAGGCGGGTCAGGGGTCAGAGGTTATCTGTCGCGCCATCCACACGTAAGACAACAACAGCACTAAGTGAAATCTCTAGAATGTCGGATGAATGTCGGCTGACTGTCGGTTGGATGTCAGCTGGATGTTGGCTGGATGTCGGCTGGATGTTTGCTGGATGTTGGTTGGATGTTGGTTGAATGTCGGCTGGATCTTTGCTGGATGTCGGCTGGATGTTGGCTGGATGTTAGTTGGATGTCAGCTGGATGTTGGCTGGATGTTAGTTGGATGTCAGCTGGATGTTTGCTGGATGTTGGCTGGATGTTTGCTGGATGTTGGCTGGATGTTGGCTGGATGTTAGTTGGATGTCAGCTGGATGTTGGCTGGATGTTGGCTGGATGTCGGCTGGATGTTTGCTGGATGTCGGCTGGATGTCGGCTGGATGTTTGCTGGATGTTGGCTGGATGTCGGCTGGATGTTTGCTGGATGTTGGCTGGATGTCGGCTGGATGTTTGCTGGATGTTGGCTGGATGTCGGCTGGGACTTTGCTGAAAGTTGGCTGGATGTTGGCTGGATCTTTGCTGGATGTCGGCTGGATGTTGGCTGGATGTTAGTTGGATGTCAGCTGGATGTTGGCTGGATGTTAGTTGGATGTCAGCTGGATGTTTGCTGGATGTTGGCTGGATGTTGGCTGGATGTTGGCTGGATGTCGGCTGGGACTTTGCTGAAAGTTGGCTGGATGTTGGCTGGATGTTGGTTGAATGTCGGCTGGATGTTGGCTGGATGTTAGTTGGATGTCAGCTGGATGTTTGCTGGATGTCGGCTGGATGTTTGCTGGATGTTGGCTGGGACTTTGCTGAAAGTTGGCTGGATGTTGGCTGGATGTTGGTTGAATGTCGGCTGGATCTTTGCTGGATGTCGGCTGGATGTTGGCTGGATGTTAGTTGGATGTCAGCTGGATGTTGGCTGGATGTTAGTTGGATGTCAGCTGGATGTTAGTTGGATGTCAGCTGGATGTTGGCTGGAGGTTAGTTGGATGTCAGCTGGATGTTTGCTGGATGTTAGTTGGATGTCAGCTGGATGTTGGCTGGATGTTAGTTGGATGTCAGCTGGATGTTTGCTGGATGTTGGCTGGATGTTGGCTGGATGTTGGCTGACTGTTGGCTGGATGTGATTGTCGGCTGGCTGTCGGCTGACTGCAGTCCCTCTGTATGTCCTCAGGTTCGACCTCCGGACGGTGAGAGTGGACTTCGTTGAATGCCTGATGCGTTTCCTGCCCACGGAGGCCGAGGTGAAGCTGCTCCGTCAGTACGAGAAAGACAGGAAACCTCTGGAGGCTCTGAGCGATGAAGACAGGTTCATGATGCAGTTTAGCCGCATCGAGAGGCTCAACCAACGCATGACCATCCTCACCTTCATGGGCAACTTCAGCGACAATCTGCAGATGCTGACACCGGTGAGAGGTTACAGACAGACAGGTTACATACAGACAGACAGGTTACAGACAGACAGGTTACATACAGACAGACAGGTTACATACAGACAGGTTACATACAGACAGGTTACAGACAACAGGTTACAGACAGACAGGTTACATACAGACAGGTTACAGACAACAGGTTACAGACAGACAGGTTACATACAGACAGGTTACATACAGACAGACAGGTTACATACAGACAGGTTACATACAGACAGGTTACAGACAACAGGTTACAGACAGACAGGTTACATACAGACAACAGGTTACAGACAGACAGGTTACATACAGACAGGTTACATACAGACAGGTTACAGACAACAGGTTACAGACAGACAGGTTACATACAGACAGGTTACAGACAGACAGGTTACAGACAACAGGTTACAGACAGACAGGTTACATACAGACAGGTTACAGACAGACAGGTTACAGACAGGTTACAGACATACAGGTTACATACAGCCAGGTTACATACAGACAGACAGGTTACAGACAGACAGGTTACAGACAGACAGGTTACATACAGACAGGTTACATACAGACAGACAGGTTACATACAGACAGACAGGTTACAGACAGGTTACATACAGACAGACAGGTTACAGACAGACAGGTTACATACAGACAGGTTACATACAGACAGACAGGTTACATACAGACAGGTTACAGACAACAGGTTACAGACAACAGGTTACAGACAGACAGGTTACAGACAGACAGGTTACATACAGACAGGTTACAGACAACAGGTTACAGACAACAGGTTACAGACAGACAGACAGGTTACAGAAAGACAGCTTACAGACAGACAGACAGGTTACAGACAGACAGCTTACAGACAGACAGACAGGTTACAGAAAGACAGACAGGTTACAGAAAGACAGCTTACAGACAGACAGACAGCTTACAGACAGACAGGTTACAGACAGACAGACAGGTTACAGACAGACAGCTAAACTGATCTCTCTCTCTTGTGTTTCCTCAGCAACTCCACGCCATCATCGCTGCTTCAGTTTCTATCAAATCCTCTCAGAAGTTCAAGAAGATCCTGGAGGTCAGTCTGAGTTTATAGAGATACACTTTGTACTGTGTTAAATACACAGTGTGTGGTATACTGCCTGTGTGTGTGTACAATCTGTCCTATAATGAATGTGTGTGTACAATCTGTTGTATAATGAATGTGTGTGTACAATCTGTCCTATAATGAATGTGTAGATCATCTTGGCTCTGGGGAACTATATGAATAGCAGCAAGAGAGGAGCTGTTTACGGATTCAAACTGCAGAGCTTAGACCTGGTAAACACACACACACACACACACACACACACACACACACACACACACACACACACACACACACACACACACACACACACACACACACACAACACACACACACACACACACACACACACACACACACACACACACACACACACACACACACACACACACACACACACACACACACACACACACACACACACACACACACACACACACACACACACACACACACACACACACACACAATCTGAGTGTTGTGTGTGTGTGTGTGTGTGTTCCAGCTGCTGGAGACCAAGTCCACAGACAGGAAGCAGACGCTGCTGCATTACATCGCCAACGTGGTGCGAGAGAAATACCCGACGAAGAGCCTGTTCTACAACGAGCTGCACTACATAGACAAGGCTGCTGCAGGTGAGCCAATCGGAGCGCTGCTACACACACACACCTGTCTGTCAGCCAATCAGAGCGCTGCTACACACACACACCTGTCTATCAGTCAATCAGAGCGCTGCTACACACACACACACCTGTCTATCAGCCAATCAGAGCGCTGCTACACACACACACCTATCTATCTGTCAATCAGAGCGCTGCTACACACACACACCTGTCTGTCAGTCAATCAGAGCAATGCTACACACACACACACCTGTCTGTCAGCCAATCAGAGCGCTGCTACACACACACACCTGTCTGTCAGCCAATCAGAGCGCTGCTACACACACACACCTGTCTGTCAGCCAATCAGAGCGCTGCTACACACACATACCTGTCTATCAGTCAATCAGAGCAATGCTACACACACACACCTATCTATCTATCTGTCAATCAGAGCGCTGCTACACACACACACCTGTCTATCAGCCAATCAGAGCGCTGCTACACACACACACCTGTCTGTCAGCCAATCAGAGCGCTGCTACACACACACACCTATCTATCTGCCAGTCAATCAGAGCAATGCTACACACACACACCTGTCTATCAGTCAATCAGAGCAATGCTACACACACACACCTATCTATCTGTCAGCCAATCAGACAGTGCTATACACCTGTCTGTCTCACCTGTCTCACCTGTGTGTCTCACCTGTGTGTCTCACCCTGTCTCACCCTGAGTGTCTCACCTGTGTGTCTCACCCTGAGTGTCTCACCTGTGTGTCTCACCTGTGTGTCTCACCCTGAGTGTCTCACCTGTGTGTCTCACCTGAGTGTCTCACCCTGAGTGTCTCACCTGTGTGTCTCACCTGTGTGTCTCACCCTGTGTGTCTCACCTGTGTGTCTCACCTGTGTGTCTCACCTGAGTGTCTCACCTGTGTGTCTCACCTGTGTGTCTCACCCTGAGTGTCTCACCTGTGTGTCTCACCCTGTGTGTCTCACCCTGTGTGTCTCACCTGTCTGTCTCACCTGTGTGTCTCACCCTGTGTGTCTCACCCTGTGTGTCTCACCTGTGTGTCTCACCTGTGTGTCTCACCCTGAGTGTCTCACCCTGTGTGTCTCACCCTGTGTGTCTCACCTGTGTGTCTCACCTGTGTGTCTCACCCTGAGTGTCTCACCTGTGTGTTTCTCACCCTGTGTGTCTCACCTGTGTGTCTCACCTGTGTGTCTCACCTGTGTGTGTCTCACCTGTGTGTGTCTCACCCTGTGTGTCTCACCTGTGTGTCTCACCTGTGTGTCTCACCTGAGTGTCTCACCCTGAGTGTCTCACCCTGAGTGTCTCACCTGTGTGTCTCACCTGAGTGTCTCACCCTGAGTGTCTCACCTGTGTGTCTCACCTGTCCTCAGTGAGTCTGGAGAACGTTCTGCTGGACGTGAAGGAGCTGCAGCGCGGCATGGATTACAGCTGGAGAGAATTCAGCGTCTCGCACAACGCAATCCTGAAAGATTTCATCAGCCGCCACGAAGCACGACTCAGCAAACTGACCGAGGAAGCACACATCGCACAGGTACACACACACACACACACACACACACACACACACACA